GCCCACAACCCATCACCCCACCCACAACCCAATGCCCCGCCCATCACCCATCGCCCCGCCCACCTCTCCTCAGCGACACACGCCGTTTGTCCCATTTCAACGCCTTTTTTATTTCCTCCTTTTCATAAAAATTTATAATAGCCTTCCTCTTACGTCGTATACAAAATATTTACTCTACCGAAATAAATAAACCACGAACATCTTGCCGACAGCACGTGATCTCGAAAGAAGCAACGGCATCCAGAGACCCTCCCTGGAGCCTCACGCCAGTCCCACGTTACAAAGACATTCTCCCTTCTCCCCTCCGCTCCCCGCCTCTCCACATCTCACAGGAGGGACGGAGAGGCGCAGCACGATTCACCCGTGAGAAGAAAGCAGCAGCGCACCTACCCCCGACCGTAACCGCCTCTGCAGAGCTCGTCCCCGTCAGTCGTACGGAATTATCAAGTCCTGGGGAGATTTTGATGCTCGTGCAGGTTCTGTCGGTAACAGCGTGGAGGGGATGCGCTCACCTGAACTAGAACACGTCCCTTGCTGGTCTGCACGCGACCCCGACAGAGCAGCTGTCCCTAGCAGAGGCACGCCAGGTTAGTCAGCAAGGCCAGGCTTACCAAGGAGGGAGTTTCTCAACTGGAAACGCCTCTCCTGTCAGCCCCAGCGCCAGCCTCAACTAGGAGGAAAAACTTTTGGTAGGAACAGAGCGCACGGACAGGGCCGCTGCGGTGACGACAAATGCGACATCCCTTCCGGGCTGGGGGAAGGCAGGTGCCAAGGGCCCAGCTCCAGGCTGAGCTCAGGCTGCCCAGCCAGCTCCTGGGCTGGTGCTGGGGGCAGGCTGGGAGGGTTATGAGGAGCTTCACGGCCAGGGCAAGGCCGCAGCGAGGGGCTCGCCCCCACCCACCGCCCGGTGCCAAACCCAGTTCCAGCCAGTGCCCCTCACCCCCCCATCTACAGGCCTCCGATTTGCCCCGAACCCCCTCTTCCCCCCACTCCCTCGCCCTGATCTCTCCCCGTTCTCTGGCACTGCTGCCTTGTCTTCCCTCCCTGCTGGACTCTCACACAGAAAGCGGCTGCCCTGGTCCCCCTCCTGCCCAGGACCCGAGCGCTGCAGCGGTTTCCTACAGCCCTCCCCTCCTGCAAACAGCCACGCTCTCGGGGCAAACGGCCCCAACCTTCTCCTGGTGTAACCGGAATTCAGAATTCCTGAATCCGCTGGGTTTCACTCCAGACGGAGAGATGGGAAGAAGGGTGCCAGGGGGAGAGGAGAAATCCAAGAGTCTCTTGGTAGACAATCAAGGGAAGCGTATGTGAACTGGGAGAGAACAGGACAAAGCCAGCCTGCCCTCTGCTAGGACCAGCAGGATCAACACTCTGGATGCAGCCAGATTTGCCGAGGAGATTCGGGTGCCAAATCCCTGACCCAGTGCAGTGATGGGGATGGAGGAACAGGGGGGGCTGAAGACGTGCTCGGTCTATCAGCGGAGGACAGGCCTGAGACCCAACCTGCACTGACTGACCCCCAGCGCTCCCGCTCAGCCAAGACAGAGCCTGCTGCGCCCTGAGCCCAAACCTACTCATGTCCACCAGCTACAGCCAGGCTATAGCCACACCAAAGCCACCTCAGCGGGTGGAGGGCAGGTCAGTCGGGGTATCTGGCAAGCTTAAGTCTTCTCCTCTCCAGGGACAGATACAATTATGCATCAGGAACTGCAGCATCTTATTCTTTCACATTCCAAACCAAAGGACATTGTAAAACAAGGCTGTCTCCCCCCTCCAGCCCGCTGCTTTATCACTTGGATGTCTGTAATGAAGCATTCAAGGCCTTTATCATCAAACCTGAACACCTCAAGTTTGGTGTGGAAGTACTCTTTAGGCACTTAAGTAAATGGCTCAATTATCAAAAGCACTTATCATTTGTAGCAGCCTCCATGTGTGAAGGTTCCCCACACTTTACGTAAGAAAAAAAAAATAAAAATTAAGGATTCTTCAGCACTCAGGTAGGGACCTGTTTGAAAAATCTTGGGTTAGAGGTTACTGGTCACTAGGAACATTCGTCCAAGAAACATCCAACCTCTGGCAATAATATTTTGCCTCAAAGATTTCCTCCTGAAGCCTGAAGTGGACAGAGACCAGGGTAGGAAGTACAGATGAAAAACTGTTTCCGTAGGCGGTTAAACAGCTGCCAAACCCATCCCCAAAGCAGCTGCGTTTCAGCACACAAACCTTGCTGTGGGAAAGGGAGGCTGGTAGGCATATAATTTGAGAAGAAATAAAACAAAAACAGTGACCCTTTACGGGAAAGAACTGTTTAAAAAACGTAGGAGAAGCCTTCTCTGGACCCGTCTGCAGACAGCAGGGGAGTGACCTTGCCAAGAAATGGTCTGACAAGACCTTGGAAAAATAGCAACATTTTGCCCTTCTGCCGAGCCTCAAAAGAGCATTTCACTGCCCACACACCTCCACAGAAAATTAGTCACAAACACTTTGTTTAGACCAGCCAAAGTTAAGGACTGTTGAACTCCTGTGTACTCCCAAAGCTGCTTTCCTCCATGCGCTGTAGGCAGAGTTTGGATCATTTCAAAGTCTAAGAGCCGACTGTGCGCCAGGATCTTGACTCCTACTTGGTGTGCGGGTAGTCTTGGAGTGGTAGACATCTGCCCTCAGCAGAATTATTTCAGCTGGTCCGCTCGTGTGGGGAATGGGACTGGCCAGAAGGACACGCAGCTGCAGCCACTCTTCTGCCACTGGAAGGGGACTCACACCTGGGAGCTGAACCGCCTGAACAACCCAGTGCTCCGGGAGCAAAAGGCACCGGTAACTGTTCACACTGTGCCTCAGTAGGAGTCTCGACTCCTGGCTGGGAATAAAATAATTTTTAAAAAGCCCAAACAAGTAGAGCATATTAAATATGTAATCTGCATTGGCAAACCAGGGGCACAAACAACATCAAGAGTGTCTGTCCTGTTCCTTTTGTCCAGCACACCAAGAAGGAGGCTCACCCTGCTCTGTGAGCCCCTGCCAGAGCGGCTGCAGGCACATTTCATCCTGCCCACCTCCTGTTTACGCTGCTGTTTCCAGCAGCCTCTGCTGGCAAGGTGCGAGCTCAGGCACCGCGCTGGGTACCGGGGCGCAGCGCGCTCCGCGAGATGCGCTCCTGCCTGCCCGCCAGCACAGCCGGGAGCCTGTCTGTCTGGAAAGAAGAGTCTGGTCTAGAAGGCTGCTCTGGGGACACGTCTTTGAGGGAAAACCGACACAGTCGGACCAACTCCAGGTACCTGCTGTGGTAGCGACTAGTGCTGAGTTCAACTAGTGGCCAGCGACAAGCAATTCCTCAGGCCTGGTACTCTTGTCCCCCCGAAGCCTTGCAGGAGAGCTCTTCCTGCTCTACCACACTGTCACAGGACTGAAAACCCCCCGAGAATAGATTTTTCTTGGGATGTGGCAGCATCTTTTGGGGGCCTGGTGTGGAAGAGGCACAACAGTCTAGATCTGTTAGGGGAGAGAGCAGGCGGCAGTTCTGAGTGCTGAGGAGTCACAGGTCAGAGTTGCTGAGAACTGTGTGAGGAAAGCTAAAAACAATCATTAAAAAAAAAAAATATTAAGAAGCCCTTTCTATCTGATGCAACTTGGTACATAGGTAAAAGGTTAAGTCACCTTTTGGAATTGGTCCTAATGAAACGTAACTTGTTTTTCCCAAACAAGACATAGTAACTTTTCTCCGAAATGGTTTCTCCCAGTCAGAGCAGAGGTGGGGAAGGACGGAAACGTGCGAGCACACATACGCACCCCCTTTGCTCCATGGCCAAACCTCCATCTTTTTTTTTTTTTTTTTTTCCAAGGAAATCTCCTCCCGGTGTCCTATTTGCAGAAGTATTGCTCAAGAAGTTGAGTAAAACTACAACAAGCAGGGGAAGAGGAGACAGCTATAACTGGAAAACAGGAGAGCCAATGATTTCTTCCCTCCCCTTCCCGTACCACTGCCTCTCCTGCTCAGAAACATGACCCGTTATTAAAGGAAAATCCCATTTCCTTTCTCTCCCCTGTATAACCCCCTTTGGTGCTGGCTGTGCTGTGCTTTCTTTTGATAAAGGCACCTTTGGAAAGCACTGATGGCCCGAAGCGCAACGCCCCGATGCCTCATATTTACACCTGAGATTAGCCCTGCCGCATCTCTCCTGCCCCCAGCCCCAGAACTACCCCCCAAGGGCCACAGCAACGGGGAGACGGCGAGAGCAGGGGCCACACGAGGCTTCGCACCAGCGGCCACGTGAACACACACACGCACGTCTCGTTCTGCCACGTGCAGGCGCCTGCGTGCTGCCCTCGTGCCTCCCACGTCACACGGAATATTTCACCATGTCACTCTTATCAAAGACAACTTTGGTTGCAAAGTAAATGGCTACCAGGCCAAAGCCGGCAGCCGACACCATGTAGGCAGTCACCGACTGCGTAAACTGGACGATGGACCCCATGAAGAGGGAGGGGACGACCTGAGAGAGGAGGAAAGCACTGTCCAAAATAGCCAGGTCCAGGCAGATCCCTCGGCCAGGAGGCACCGAGTCTGGTTCTCCCACCATCATCATGAGCGAGACGTCGCAGGAGGAGCTGACGCACAGAGCCGAGCTGGCGGCTGGAGGTGAGGAGGAAGAAGAGGAAGAGGAGAAGAGGCTCCCAGCATGCCCGTTCTGGTAAGGAAGCTTCTGGCTGGAAAGCAGGCCTTTAGAGAAAGCTGATTTCTTGTCCAATCGAGCTGCATCTTCCTCCTCTTTGCTCTTGTATTTATGCAAGAATACCTAGGGGAAAGAAGGAGGGCACGTGAGGAATGAGTGGGTAGGGTGGAGCCCAGCAAGCGAGGTGGGGGCAGAGGGGGCCCTGGTGCAAGCGAGCAAAACCGCTCTGTGCTGTGTGGGTGTCGGGTCGGGCTGTTAGAGGTGGGGAGTGCCCGCAGTGAGCCTGGCCCACGTGAGATGGCCTCCAGGAGCCAGCCTGGCTCTTCCCGACTGGCACGGGATTCAAAGCAACCCTGACTCACCGGGGGAACGGGGCCAAGCGGAGCCTTTGTTGTGCTGAAGCTCTGGGGCTCAGCAGACCTCTGCAGCCCAAAGCCAGCCCAGGCTCTGCCTGGGGACATTTTGCACTGAGCCCTGGGTTGTCACCTCCTCACCCAGGGAATCTGGGCACCAACTACAGCTCAGCCCATCCTGAAATCAGCCGATGCACGCTCACAGGGCAGGAGTGAAGGGCCAGAGCCCGCTCTGGACATATCACAAAGGCAGACAGTCCACTCCAGAGCAAACAGAAGTGTTCACAAAGTGTCTGACTGGGAACCCAAACCCAGAAGGGCCCGAAGGCAGACGAACAGTTCGGAGCCCTGGATGCATGGCTGCTTCTTAATGTCTGGGATACATAAAAGTGACACCAGCTGAGATGGCACAGCGCTGGGAACTCAGCAAGAGCTCTTTTCTCAGCTCTGCAACAGACCGTGCATACATGACCTCAACCGAGTTGCTTCATCTGCCTGACCTAAGCCTCCTCACTCAGGCTAGAAAAGAGGGGCAGGAGGAAGAGAAATCTAAAACTCTTTTTCTCCTCACCCCTTTTTTGCCTTACTCTGCTCAGGCTGTGAGATCTCTGGGACACGGCTCACTCGAGCAGTATTCACGCGGAGTATTTGGATCAAAAAGCTCTCCAGGTTAATGCCAACAAATAATGGGCAGTCACGTGCAGACAGTGAAAACGCTGCAGAGCTCCAGCTTTAAAACTCCAGGGCATTATTCGCAATTATGCACAACCACTGGTCTGCATGAGGTAGAGCAGATAACGAAGGACACGCTAATCCATTATCTTCATGGTGAGACTGAATAAACAAAGAAAATAAAAAGGAAAAAATAGCACCTGTTTGAGAGCAGAGAGCACCGTACCCAGCTGCAGGGCTCGGAGGGGGCTTGCCTGAGCTCTCTCTCCGTTTGCAGGAGGGACCTGGGCACAGATGAACAGCTGGCGGTGCAGGAGTGTGGGCACTCCTCAGGCTCTGTTGTGGCCATCGTGAGGCTTTCAGCAGTCCTGGCAGGCTCCCAGCTACACCCAGCCCTGCCCCAGTGTGTGTCAGCACCAGCCCGCTCTGTTCACGCTGCCCCAGGCCATGGCTGCAGATCTGTAGCACAAACAGTCTCAGATTCAATCGGAGAAGAGAAACCAGAAGAAAAGAACTTCACAAAAGAGCAATCGGCTTCCAAAAGCTTTACCTGGCCTCTGCTCAGCTCCTCGCTATAACCCTTCAACTCCTCAATTCTGCCTAAGCTCATCGATTTACGCTTAAATGCATCAATCCGGGACCGTCCGTTATTTTACGGGGGAGCTTAAAAATCCTGCCAAGTGCCTCCTATTGCCATCAGACTTCAAAGCAGCTCAAAACCCAGCACAGAAAGGGCATTGTGTGAGCCAAACTAGGATGTCCCCCCTAGTTCCAGCCCTTCGTGTTTCACCCTGACATTCCCAGAAGCCTGCTCAGCTGCCCTGAAGGCTCACACCACATTTTCTTGGTTTCTAGGCTGATCCAGGCCAGGACTGCAGAGCTGGGAGTTCTGGCAGGGATGTTTTCTTTCTCCACCTAGCGTGGAGAATTTAAATCTAGAGAAAAATGACTTAAATACGGACTCGCAGGAATGAGCTTAGCGAGAGTTTAAGCTTTACTATCGCCCCTTGGAACACAGGATACAACCACAGGAGTCAGTGGTGCCTCGATCACCAGCTGCGTCTCCCTCCGTAGCTGATGGGGAGTGGTGGGAAGGAGGGTCCCAGCTCTCCCTGACCTCCCGCAGGAGGTGTGACTGCCCACCGTGCCCCTCTGCCGGGCTTGCAGGCGCTGTCAGAACACACAGATCTTTCCCTCCCGTTCTAGACCAGGTTTGGTGAAGATGGGAGGGCACCAGGAGAACAGAGCGACTCAGAGAGCCTGCGCAGAGCAACGATCCCGCGCAGGGTGGAAGCAACAGTCGCTCTGGATGCTCCTTCTGCTGGTTTGCTTAGGAGGAGTGTTTAAAGTTTAAAAAAAATAATTAAAAAAGAGCAGAGAGGAAGCAGAAGCGAGGGAAGGCAAACAAAAACGACGACAGATTTCGACAGTAAGAAAAAAAGAACAGAAATGGGGCAGATGGAGATTTTTCTGCAAAGGGCATTTTAGGGACTACTTCTTGGGGGGTCTCCCTGCAGCCTGCTGCAAAGCAGTTGGTAAAGGAATGAGGAATTTTCAAGTCAGGGCAACAGAGAGACCAAACCCAGCTATACCCCACACCTCACCGTACCAAGAGCGTTTCCCTGTCAGGCCTTTGGCAAACAGTTGGGCACGTGGCCGTCCCATTCCCAGGCTGTGGAGTTTGGCTTTCATTCTGTTGCTGTTACGGCCATGGGAGATCCCAGCTGAGCTGAAGTTTTTGCAAAGCAGAACACTCCCTCGTACCCCTATTTTGACAGGGTGTCTGGTGCAAATGGGGATGGGTTGGTCAGAAGTATTTGTTCAATGTGAACATCTGGATGCCTGTGGTAAAAACTCCTACTTATTTCACTGCATAGCGAACCGCCTGCCATTGGGATGAAAGGGCTGCTCACAAACCACAAATTAATTTTGCATTTGCAGCACAAGAAAAACTCCTATTAATCCAGTGTGCAACTCAGGAACCTCCTAGGACTCCTCCACGAGGATAACATCTGTGGGACAGGATTACTAGCTTTTGTGTTGGTGTCAAAAGTTTCACAGCGTTTATTTTTCTTGGAGCTAGGGGAATAGGAAGGACCTCAGTTTTCATTTTACTGATCTTCATGCTAAAAATTGAAAAGTGGGACCTCTAAGGGCTGAAAAGTCTTCAGTTGTTTTAGCGCCTCAGGTTGGCAGTGCTGCAGATGTGACTCGGCTGCAGGACGCACACAGGTATAACTAACCTGCACCAGGTTCCCTAAAAATATGCAGGATGCAGACGAACACAGGACATCCCTTTCGATACACCAATCCTAGCCGATTTCTCCCATCTTATCCACTCCCCACTTTTTAAAAATTGCGTAATGTTTGTTGTGAGCAGGGGATGCCTATGGAAGGAGATGCTGAACTCTCTCATCTCCTCCATTTCAGGTGAATCTCCAGAGAAGACACAGCCTGAGACAAGAGGCACGTGGGGAAAACCTTTGCACACAGGCATGTCATCGTCTTCTTCCACGGGCTGAACTGACTGTACCAGCTACACGTGGCAGGAGAGGCTGGCCAGGCTGTCCTCACCTGGCCCAGAGCCCTCTGGAGCAGATCCCTACCTGTTTTTCATGATGATACAGGGATGCCAGCGTGTAGGGCAGGATCTGGAGTGCAGAGAAGGTGAAGCCCGTCAGAGCAGCGGAGATGGTAACAACGACGACGCTGTGGGAAAGGCACATGACGAAGGCAGCCATGGGGAAGAACACCACGCTGGCCAGGTAGACCGCCCGCGTCCCAAACTGCTTCACCATCCGGTCCATGATTGTCGAGAAGAAGATGGATGTGATACACTGCAGGAAGAGGCCCAAACTGCCCATCCGGACACCTGCAGGTAAGCAGAGGCAGTGACAGACACTGCCCTGACAGCGCCCAGGCTTCACACAACCTCTGGGCCTCCTCTCCTGCAGAGCCCAGTTCAGTACAGTCCACGCAGAGTGTTGCACAGCCACAAACAGCCCTGACAACCCCAAGGCTGGGGTCAGGAGGCAGAGCAGCAACACCAACGTACCCCAGGGTTGCGCCAGCCAGACTGCAGCTCCCACCCTCCCCACCAGCAGTGAGTATCTCCTACACGTGCTGCTGAGCACCCCAGTCTAACCAGAGGGGCAACAGGAGATAGAAATCCGAATGTTGCTCTTGTCTTTGGCAGTTGTCGTTCACACCTTTCTACTCTTGACCCAAGATCTGTCACCTGCTCACGAACCAGGATCTCTTTGTCATCTGATGCCGAAACCAGCAACAGAACACAAGGAACAAAGACTTGTGCTTAAGCCAAGGTAAAGTATACAACATCCACTAAATGACTGCATTATCCGGTAGCAATCCGGACCTTACCCTTTGCAAAGATCTATCAGATTTCAGGGAATTAAAACCATTAACTCTTTGGAGGAAGGATCATTACTCAACACATGTTTCTATGACAGCCTGCACAATGGAGTCCTGACCTGCTGGAAGCTACACAGCGCAAGTGTTAAATAATAATTAAGCTCCCTCTAAGTTAAACAGACACTCGGCACAAAGAGGCAGTGTACTGCAGAGCTCACGGAGGCAGTCAGTGGAAAACTCAGAGGGCAAGATGTACAGCTGGAAGAGGAGGGCCAGGAAGGTGCCTCCAAGAATAAAAGACTTAGATCAGGAAAAGAAAGCCTAGGGAGTGAGTCAGGGCTCTGGCCCAACACAGCAGCCAAAATGGGACAGCAGGGCAAGAGCAGCGAGCAGGTAACGCGCTGCAGTGACACTATCCCGTGGTGGGGACGTGGCAGCTTCAGACTCCAGCAGTGAGCACTGTCGGAGAGCACTGGAGACGGGGGTGAGAACTGGGGAAGCTGCTCGAGAGCTCTCCAGATACAGATGTGAGATGGGGATCTCACAGTAGCATGAAAGGAAGGTGCAGCAAAGCCTACCTCACGGCTACTGAGCACGTCCTGGCTTTCCAGCCCCTGCCCTCCGAGAGATGGGGAGCACCATCACCCCGCATTTAAAGAGGAGGGAAGAGCAGTGAAAGGACCCGGCAGAGGCAGCCGCAGCTTGCGGAGCCGGATAGGTCCCGTTCAGCACGCAACCTGCCAGACCATTCTGCCACTTAAACAATTCAGCCCCGGGCCAGGGCTGCACTGCCAGTTCCAGCTCTCTGCTGGGTAGCTCTGAGGACAAAGAGGTGTTTCCCTGTGCGGTCCACTGTGCAATGCTCTGCGGGCCACGGGGAAACGTTTTTTTCCTGACCCATCTGCAGAAAGTCTAGTTTCCTGTAATGTTTTCTGGCATTACTAGCAGTGCTGAGCCCAATCCTAGCTCCCACTAAACGCTCCTGTCCTAGGGAACAGGCGCAGAGCAGCTGGTTCACTTCTCACCTTCATCATAGTGGCGTCTGGCATCCGTGCCCGGCTTGGCTCTGGGGACACCGTGGTACAGCCCCTCCCCAACAAAGTCTGTGTAGAACAGCATGAAAGTCATGAGTGCCATCCAGCTGCAGAGCTCAGCCACGAAGAGGCGGCGGATGACCTTGGGGATGCGGCAGTAGAGGCTGTGAAGCCGAGGCAGCAGCGTGCAGAGGTTTCTCAGGGCCTGCATCATGTGCCTGGCCTGCAGGAGACACGAGCTCCTGGAGAGCTGGCAAGAGCAGCAGGCGGGTGGTGAGGGCTTAGAGGGAGCGTCCTTCAGCACTGGGCCATCCAGAACATCTGCCTGGGTGGCTGCCTCCTCGGTCACAAAGAGTGTGGCCAGCACACAGCCGAGGAAAATGACGGCCAGGAGGCTGAAGAGGCAGGTCTCCTGCCCTCCCAGGTACGGGGCCAGAAAGCTGCCGCCCCAGTCAATGGCTGGAAGCAGGTAGCCAATGCAGCCCCCCAGGCTGATCATGAAGGCGTAGAGGGAGAAGGCCTGGCGGCAGTTGTCTGGCTCCTGGAAGAGGTCTGAGAGCAGGGCCTCCAGCGGAGTGAAGCAGACCTGGCCGCAGAAATCCAGTAGCCCGATGCCCAGGATGAGGAAAGCAATCTCCAGCGGGCGAGTGTTGAGGGCAAACAGGCTGGCCAGGCTGCTGGCGTGGGGGATAACGAAGAGGCTCAGCAGGACTCCCAGGCAAAGCATCCAGATGAAAGGTCGCCTTCGGCCATAGCTGCTGTGCCAGTGGTCGCTGGCGGATCCAATCAGTGGGACGAAAACCAAGCCAAGGACAGGTCCTATCCCTGGAAAAGAGAAAGAAGCGGTGTTCGGGGGACAGCTCTGGAGGACACTGGTCTGTATGTGCTGCCAAAAAAGCCTGGGATGTTTCAGTAAGCTTCACCGGGTCACAGCCCCCTCCTCCAAACACAAGGCTGCTCTTGACTCAACAGCAGCACTACAACCACCCCGCGGGGACAAGCCTCCGTGCCCCTGTGCGCCCCTGCCCTCCAGACTCAAAGGGGAAACAGGCACCTCGAAGATGAGAGAAAAACTGCCTACCCAAAACCATGGTCATGAACTTCTCCTCCACACCCACTTCCAGCAGCAGCGGAGGCACGTAGGTTATCCCGGCAGCCAGGCAGACCTCCAGGCCGAACGTCAGGGAGTTGACCAGCAGGAGCTGGATCTTGCGGCTGTGGAAGAGCATGCTGCCCCCGCTCTGCAGCCACACCGCCCCGACACCCCTCAGTGGCCCAGGGCCGTGCCACTGCCACGCTCCCAGGGATGCCCCACAGGCAAGGTCTGGAGCTTCCCTTCCTGGTCTGCTGGACAGATGCTGCCTCCCATTTTTAGCAACAGGGAATGAACTGTCTTTTCCTCTTCCTCTTAGTGCAAGATGTGGCTCCAGCAGTGTCGAGTCCAGGTGGGGGCAGGCAGGGATCCCGCTCCAGGCTTCCCCTTCTGCTCACATGCTGTGGTCTGAGAGAAGAGAGAGCTTGTTAGACACAGCGGGGTCCAGGGCAGGGGAAAGGGCTAAAACCTGGTACCACACAGCCACACAATCACTAAAAGAGACAGTCCCCACCCCGATAGGCACGGGAGGATGAGGACGGGACATCTGCGAGAGGGGCAGGGTTAAAAGACAGGGACTGCACTGGGGCCAGGTTTCTCTCCAAGGGCTTGTGACAGGTGAGACAGGCACCTGTCAGACATGGTTTGGGAAAATCCAATCCTGCCTTCGGGCTAAGGGAGGTCTAATGACCTCTCAGTGTCCTGTCCAGCCTCACGTTACAGATGGGCCATTAAGGATTTAGGCTTTAGGGTCCCCTCTCCCAGTGAAATCAATTAAGGGTCCCCTTCGAGGATGAGGGCTGCCGGCACTCGCCTGCAGTCACACGGGGTCATCTCTAGAGACCCCGGCCACTGCCTAATGACCGGGGCATCCTCCGCGCTGCCCCGCAGGCTCCCAGGGAAGCAGTTTCACCCAAATCCTGGCTCCAGCCCCTGAGACAGGGCACAGAGAACAGATGGTGCCTCCATGGAGTTTCACAAACAAACCTGACCCACTTTAGCCTCATCTAACAGTGAACAGCAATTACCTTACTCATTAGTCTGAGTCATTTATTTGCCCTGTAACATGCTCCCTCTCTCCAGCCTTTTTCAGAGGGGAGAGGCCACCACATCAGATCAGGGGCTAAAGCAGCTAAGGCAAGAGTAAGCAGACGCCTCTTAGTAACCTGTTAGAAGCCTGTCACGATGTCAGTGTACAAATGTGAGGAATCCTGCAAGGTTACCAGCTGTTTTCCTAAAAGCATCTCGGGAAGATGGACTGTAGTTATGTTGGGAAAAGCAGAACGGGTTAGCAAGAAGGGTGACATTAAGCTCCTGCACAGACATCGGTTTAGAAGTAAAACAAACTGCAGTCTAACTCTCAGGATTCACATGGTCTAACTTCTCACCCTAAATGAGCCACCACCGAGTTTCTCTGTGGGGACAAGGCATAACGGGTCCCGCTGGCCCGAATGTGCTTCAGCTTATGAGCCACTTCTGGACCGTGCAGCGTGCTCTGAATTTGCACAGAAGGTTCTGCCTCCTGCGCCACCACAGCGCAGCCCCCAAGTGCTTCGGATGAAGGAGGCTGAACAGAATGCGAGACACGCAGGCGGAGGAGTTTATCTCCGCTCGCTCCCTCCCTGGCTGCAGGAAAGCTGTAAGTGCATACCTGCCTGACACCCGCTCCGTGCCAGAGCAGCTAGCTGGGGCAGTTTCCCTTATTAAACTGCAGAGAGCGAACCCATCAGAAGAAACGAGGTGAAAATCCAGTTTTGCAGCCCCGTGCCCCTCTAAATTCGTTGCCTTGGCTACAGGGGGGAGGAGAAGACTCCTGCGGGGAACATCTCCAGGCCAGCACTCGCCTCCCTCCCCAGCAGCGGTGCTGGAGGCCGTGCCAGGCAGGGGCAGACCTGACAGCGCTGGAGTGGGATGCAAAGCTGCACGCAGGAGGAGCTGCTGGACCACAGCCTTACCACAGCTGCACTGGGCAGAGATAAAACTCCCCATCACCACCAAACATGGTGCAAATCAGTGGTCCCTAACTTCACAGCACGTGTATTTGACCTCCGTCACTGCACAAGGGTTTGTAGACAGGTACAGTCAGGACAGTTTCTGCGTTCTCGCTTTTCCCTCTCTTCCCCTCTTTCCACCAGCCAAATAACCCACGTGCAGGTGACTGGGTGAAGCTGGGGATGAGGATTTTACAAAGATACGAGCACTGCTCTCCACCTCGTGCAGCTGCAGAGAGGCAGCACTCCTGAGCTGAGGAGTTGACCGGCTGCCAATTACACACAATAAGTACAGATTATTTCCCTTCACAGGATCCCTCACCTTCCCCCTCCACACTCACTTAGACCTCGACTGTCACAAAAGATATCTCCTTTTAACAACTGTGAACATTTCAATGACTTGCCCAAGGTCAAATAGCAAGCTAACGGCAGAGGGGGAACAGCAACAGTTTTCCTTTAATCACTAGACAAGGCTTCAAAGGAATACTCAGAGGCCCCAGATACACTCAGCATTACTTCAGATGCACTGGATCAGCAAGGAAGCAACTGGGGGCAGCAACCACCTTTCTTAGATGTGGGCTAGACACAGGATGTCTCAGCCCTGTTCGTTTATGATGGGTGCCCAGCTGGCTGACAGCCTTGGGACAGGAATTTAAGCTGCAGGCCTCCAGCTCCAGCAGCACAAGCCTTGGTGCTGGTTAGCTACAGAAAGCAGACTTCACATGGCAAAATTAACTGAGCCACCAACACTCAGAGCTATGCCTGGAGGGGAGATGTAATGTCCACTGTCTGCTGTAGTGCAGGGTCTGGAGGGCTTACAGAAGGGGACTTACCCCAGGGTAAACCCCAAACGTTAAGTAAAAGACATCTCTCACACACACACACAGAGAAAAAAAAAAAAAATTCATCCTTTTTATCCCAGTGACATCTCTAGCACTGGGGAGGAAGCAGGAATCTGTACATCTCCCTGACTGCCTGAGAATCTCAGGTTGAGGCAGAGAGGATGAATTTTGTATCCGTAGGTGAGAGAAGATCTGTTTCTTCCCCCCTCCACACCCCCAGAGGGCTTTAACGAACAAATAAATCCCGGTGTACCCAGAGGCAAGAGTCATGCACGGCCAGAGATGAGAAGTTGTCAACAGCAATCAAGTCGTATGAACCCTTTTCTGTTTAAATTGCATTTTATCCCAGTACCCATCAATTACTTCATTTTGTTCACAGAGTACAGAGATGGATCGGCTTAGCTGGAAGGAAATGCCCGTGCAGAGGAGGAAAATCATCTGAACCATGAATCTGTAAGGACGGGGGCAGAGGGATTGAGAAAGAGGATTTGGGAGGCTCGCAGGAGCCAGAAGCCAGGACTCACCTGCTCTGGGCCAGCAGCGAGAGGGGATCCCTGTGGCTCTGCGGAGCTGGGCTCCCCCAAGCCAGCCCAGCCCTGGCACACAGCTCAGGAAAAGCTCCCGCAGTAGTTCACAGGCAAGCAGAGGTGGAACCCAGCCGCAGGTACACACGCGGGTTTGGTTTCAGGGCCCTCCCTGTCTCCCGATAACGCGGAGCTCTGGTGTGTTATTAGCACCACACCTGCGCCCGGGCCCCTCGCGCGAGGGCTGAGCACACACGGGCTGTGAACCAGCCCCGTGATCCCGCTGCTCGTGGGGTGTTCGGCCACCGCTCCCCCAAACCACCTCCGAAGGGAGCTCCGGGTCTGAACTCACACCTGACCTTTGCCCAAAGCCCTGCCCTGGTGTTAACATTTGTCACCTTCCCCTTGCTGACTTGCTGGTGCTTCACAAACAGCCAGCAGAGAGAGGTTTAGGACATGGGGTTATTATTTCCTTTTTAAAGACAATGAGACATTCCCCGCAGTTTTGCAGGTAACAGTCTGGCTCTAAATAACAGTCCCAGCAGCAAGACCAAACACTTCATTTAAACTGTTAATCTCTTCCAGGACAGTTTATCTGGCAGGCTCTGCAGGAGGACTGGTTTGGGTCTGGTGCTCTACTCCTCTGTGCTGATGTGGAAGCAGTGAGTTAGGAAACCACCTCCCAGCTGGGAGATCCTGGTCTAACAGCAGCATTTACCTCACACCCAAATGAGCTGGCACAGTCTGTCCAGCCCAGGGGGATCTGGAATTTGTGATGGGGAGACCTCTCACAGTCAGACAGGGGGTGGCTGGTCCGAAAAGCTGTGTGACAGCAGGCACTTCCTGCCCTCTGGCCTCAGTTTCCCCACACTTCTACAACAGGGACAGTATTTGTCCTTCCCTGCTGAGAACAGGCCAAGCACCTTGTCAAGGGTAACAGCCAGCACCCCAAAAAGGGGCATACCAGCCCTTCTGTGGAAGGTTCCCTGCACGCAGAAGGGAGCCACATGTGGGGCTTTTTCACAGCTGCTCACGGAGCCTTCGTGCCACGGGGACATTATCTGCTGCTGAGCAGTAAGGCTCCTTCTCTGCTCTTCCTCTCCCTCCCCAAGGAGAAGTAAAGCATCTTTAAATTCAAGTTTTCCGTTTTAGTTTTAAGCTCGCAAACCAAACTTTTCCTTTCCTTCCTCTGCAGAGAAACAACAGATCAATTCCGAGAGGCTGGTTCACCTGGCAGGCAGGTAGGAGGGCGGGTCCTGGGGGCAGGAGCAAGGCAGCACACTGCCGGCCAAAGGCAGCCCCAGCGGAGAGGGCTCTCTGCCACCCACCCGGGCACAGGAGCCTTTTCAGCAACGGCAACCAAAGCAGGAAGGATTGCACCTCCCGCCCTCCCTCCCCTCTCCCACTTAAGCTCCCCAAAGGACAGGGAGGAAGGCAGGCAGTCTGCCTCTGCGGAGCGCAGCTCCCTTAGCAGCGCTACCAGGGAGCAAGGGGATGGAGCGGGGATGAAGCCAGGGGAAGCGGCTTCCGAGAGCCCATTTCTCAGCCAGCACATTGGATTCACACATTGCCCCTACTCAGAGTTTGATCTCTGTTCACACGCTACAGAAAAAGTTCTGACAACCGTCTTCCTGTGCTCGATGCGGTACGGAGATGCAGCAATGCCCAGCTCGAGGAAACCCGTGATCTGAATTTGAGAAAAGCACCAGCAAGTGCACAGACAGGCATGTGGAAACGGGACTGAATTTACTGCTGATGTCAGGTGTACGGACTCGCTTACACAAAGCCACACCATCGCCAGTACGAGTTCGGTTCCCCCTTCCATTCTCTCGGCGGGCGCAGACGTTGCTCTGTGTGCACCCTTGTGAATGGACTTTGAACCACACCTTTTGCTTTTACAAGAAACAAATCCCCAGACACACGAGGGCAGTGGCCTACGTGCAGGGCGCTGACGGACACGCACGAGCAAAGGCTGAAAGAAGTCTTTCCTCCTCTCAGTCTCCTCAAGTCTTTCCAATATAGGATCTGAGAAGGAATTGCATCTAAACAGTGCTTAAGACACTGAAGAACAGACATTTTAAAAATAAAATTTGGGTATAGTTCCACGGCAGAGAAAAACACATCTATTCCTCAGAAGAATCTATATCCTGCTGCTCCATAATCCTTCCAGTCTCCCATGCGGGTGCAGAAGGGACAAGAGATGTTATTAAATGTGGTAGCAGCCTCCCTGATTTATGACGGTCATGCACCCACCCCACACTTCAACAAACAGCCACAGTAATGATCAGACAACAGAGAATTAGATTCATCAACTATTTGTGATCTGTCAGGGCTCTGTAATAACCTGAACCCTGTCAAAGAGGAGGAAAATTCACCCCACGAGAGCCTTTGCCTTAGCAAAGTCAAGGCCGCCTTTTTTTGGAGAAGCATCCGAGGCAGCTGGCAGGGGCCAGCACTGGAGGCAGGCGATGGTGCTGTGCAGGGGAGCCCCGGGGGGGCTGCTCCGGCCCCGCAGGTCCCAGGTGATGTGAGCCTGCACCTTCCCTCCCCACAGCACCGCAGGTTGGATGCAGAAACCTATTGTCCCACCGGGCAGCAGGGAGAGGGGAGGGCGAAGGGTATTGCTAGCCGTTGGGTTTCCATTCATAACCACAACGTTACATTTCCAACCTTCCAAGGGGCTCTTTATGAGCGTTATTAATTCCCCACTCCCTGGAAGCCCTTTGGAAGAAAGGGTGGGAGAGAGCACAAGAGCAAGTGCTTGGGGAAGGGCTGTTCATGCAGTGCCAGATCCTTTCACAGCTATCAGTGTCCATTCACTGCAGCTGAATGGGAAATACACCATGGAGAATAGCTCTGGCAGGCTCGCGCGGGATGAAATGGAAAACTCACCTGACCTCTCCTGACCCTCTCCCCTTCCCCCTCCCCTGCCAAATCTCCTTGACCCCTTTCACAGTGTGGGGAGAGAGGAGCGGTCATTAAGCAGGGATGGGAGAACGGCGATTTATTTAGTCGCTCTGAATTAACTCTGCGTTTCCTTTGAGCTCGGGGGCTCCATTATATCGGCCTCGGCAGCTTGGCTTAGGGAAAGAGCAGCAGCGGGTGGAAATCCCCTCAGACAGAAGGAAGACCCGGGTGCCCCAGCCCATTTGAAATTCCCTCCCTCACCCCGCCCAGCAGCCCAGACACCAGGGTGTAGTAATCCAGGACAAATGTTACAGATGCATCCAGAGTGACGGGAAGGGGCAGGTCCCCGCAGCAGCTCAGAAGACTTTCCACACAGTTTGGTTCAAAGGGAGACATTTGAATTTGTCAGGACTGGGGGTCGGTTCTTTCCTGCCACCCTGCTTCCCTGCAGCACCTTCAAGGCAGTCGTCCTGCTTCCAGGGCTGCATCTCCCACTTTTGTGGGCCACTAAAGCAGCCTGCACCCATCCAGATGCTGAGCAAAGGTCTTGTCTCCCATAACCACCGAGCCACTCACCTTCCCTGCAGATGGCTGGGCCTCACTGAGATGGAGTTTGAGGTGCAATCTTGGGTCCTGCCCGGTTCCTGCTGCTGTGACCACAGAGTGCCAGTCATTTCAGTGCGACCAGGATACATCCACGACTGCCAGGGAGCAGAGGTGGGGCACAAGCCACCCAGTGACCTTTGGCCCTCCTGACCTGGGAGGCTGGTTAGTCCTGAGGGTTAGCAGGGATGGGCTGTTCCAGAGCCAGCCCAAGCGACTGGTTCACATCTGCAGAAGCTTTGGGAGGCTTTTTTTCTGATATTAGTGGTTCCTTCAGGTAAAAGTGCATCTGTAAGCGCAACTGACTGTCGAGTATCTTCCGAGTTTTAGAGTGAGCAGCAAGGGCATGTGGAACAGATCACTTTGTCCCAGAGCCAACAACGTCTGTGGCAAAAGCAAAGGCATCCATATGAGATGGATGAGAAGGTCAAAATCCATATAAAGAACCGGAGCTAGGAAAGGATGCTTTCCCAGCCCGGCAGGCTATCAGCACTGTCCTCGCTCTGCCTGTCACACCGAGATGATGCTTTCCAGTGTGGAGAAAGGTCTGTCCCCTTTGCCCTTCACCCTGCAGATCTCTCTGGGACCTCACACTCCTTTCAGGAGCCGTGCCAACAGCTCTGTGGACGCTTTTATCTGCAACACGAACATCAAACAGACAGCAGGGCAGCCCACAGGCTCCGCTGACCTCCTGTCCCACAACCTGCTTCTTCCTCTGGCAAAGGAATTGCTCCTGGCAGGAGGCTTTCTCCCAAGCTGCCTTAGCTCCCGTGCCGGCCCGTTTGACCAGCAGAAAAGATAGAGCAGCAAAGAGTGGCCAGTTCCAGCCCATCCTCCTCCTCCTCCCCTCACTGTTACAAACAGGAACCGCCTGTCTGACTAACAAGGTCACCGACTCAGTGGAGGCCACACTGACACTTTCAGAGCTTGCCACGCTGCTCAGAGGGACAGCCATCCGCCCGGCGCACACGGCGATGCCAGCGGGTGTCATTAACTCTCCTGCAGTCCACGCTAGGAGAACCCTGGCCAAGATAAGCCAGGGCGCCGAGAGCTGAGCACTGAGTCTTCGGAGGCTGAAGGGCTCAAACCGTGCCTTGCTGGTCTGTAGCTCAGCCCCATTTCCATCAGGGACACGGCGAAAAACTCCTGCACAGGAGGGCCAAGTTCAGCTGTGATGTGATGAAGGACTGAGTGCTCCAGTAAATAACCCACAGCTGAGCTCAGACGGGCCAAAGGAACCGCAACAAGACTGCTTGTGCCCACCACAGAGTAGGACGGTCTGGCAGCGTTTTACCTGCGCACGACCAGCATCTTATCACCAAACTTCAGCTAGCACAGACGCAGCCTCACACGCTCCTAAACATACGTAACACCATCAGAGAAGCAGCATTTTTAGCCTCCGCTCTCAAGAGCCTCTCTCCTTCTAGTCAACCTTTCCTGAGCCGGCCTCAGGTCTGCTATAAACAACTCAAGACCTCCAGACAAGGTTGGCTGGCTCTACATCAGAGCTACAGCTTTGTTTTGCTACTGCATGACCCAAGCTCTTGCTTTT